ATATAAATTCCATCCTTATCTCTTCCTTTCCAAGTAAGAATCCTATTAACAAAAGGAAACCAAATAATAATAATCTTCTACCAAAAATAAAATAACTAATATAAATATATAAAAAGATAAACAAAAAATCAGAAAAGCAAAACAAAATAAAATTTAAAAATAACGTATTCAACATACTATCTGACGTTGAACTTCTTTTGGGTTCCTCAACGCTGAAAGCTCTGGCAAGGTGTGGGAGGATGTTCCCAATGGGGTTCGTTGGTTGATCGGTGATGGAATGTTTACGCGTTTTTGGTTGGACAACTGGTTATACAATTATGTCTCGCTGGCTGATGTTGCAATATGTGTAATCGCTGAAGGGAAACTAATTGGATGTTATCGAATTATGTTGATAACGCCGGAAGTTGGCGATGAGATCCATTTTCCTGGTTATTGCCATCAATAACTCTCATTCCAGTAGCTTCTTGCTTGCCACTGAGAGTAGATAATGGATCATATATTTTATATTGGGTCTTTTTTTGCAGGAGGAGATTTCACGGTCAAATTTGCTTATCAGTCCTTGTCGCAGCCTATCTTGTTAAATGATGCGAAGTTATATAAAAAAAATTGGTGTTGGTTTGGCCCTAAAAGAATTCGCAATTTTATGTGGTTAGTAACTCAAAACAGGTTGTTAACAAATGCTAAGAGATATCGTTGATACATGGCGTCTTCGCCAAGATGTGAGTTGTATGAGCTGATGGATGAGATTGTATTACATGAATTACGTGATTGCCATTATGTAGCTGCAATATGGTGGACTTTGTTGCTGGGTACACTACATGCTTGCTTTTTCTTGTTAGATTTGAAGAGCTGGTTAGTTTAGAATTTATGTACACCCCTGAATTGATTTGCTAGCATTTGGGATTTTTTTTAGTGTCTTTGTGGCTAATCTGAGAGGGATGGAATGAAAAAGTTTTTTAGCTAAAGACTTCGATGCGGGGAAACACCTTAGAGAAGTTAATTTGCATATGTCAAATATTCATTTCAGTTTTGAAAAAACAATTGGGTAGTACTGGACATTGACGTGAATTTAAATTAATAAGATGGTTAGCTCCGCTAGATGGTTGGTTTAAGATTAACTCGTATTGGGATTTTAATGGTGACAAGGGTATGGCGAGTGCTGGAGGTTTAATTTGTGATCCTAATGGAGATGTGGCGGTTTTATCATGAACAAGATTTGCGACGATCACTGGAGTAGAATTATGGGGTCGCTTCCATGGTCCGACTCTAGCTTGGGATCTTGGATATAGGAAAATACTTGCGTCAGTGGTTAGTCAGACAACTATTAAACTTGTATGCAAGCAACAATTTGATGGTGGTGTGCATGGTGACTTATTGCGGGGAATTCATGAGCTGATTGGACGGAAATGGGATGTAGAGTTTGTACATGATTGGAGATAGTCCAATTTCGCAACTGATTAGTTGGTATCATTAGCGTCTACGAGTCCTGGAGGTCTCCATTACTTGGATGAACCACCAAATAGGGTTCTTCCGTGGTTAGAGCATGAACGTACTGAGACTGCACATTCATGTAACGTGATAGTCTAAGATTTTTATAGGCGATTTAACTTCTTCTTTGCCAAGAAAACAAAACTTAAGCTAAAACGATATAATTTTTATTGATCATAAATTGAGCTATCGTCCATCAATTAAGGTCAAAACATCATCAATAAAAAAACTCCTGAAACAAATGAAAGATAAAAGAATCAAGTAAAAAAATATAAAAATTGATATAAATTAAATCGATCCATCCGTGGATGCATCTCAACTTTTCATGTTTGAAGATGAAGTAAACAAGATCGAGTCAACACCTTTTGCTTCATTTAAAAGAAAATTTTAGTACGTTTTAGCAACAAGTTAATGTTATTATGGGTGTGCTAATTAGGTGCTATGTTCAATTCTCAAAGCAATAATTGTGTGTTTCAAGATATAATAATG